TACTAGCCCAATGCTCTGCCAACTGAGCTACGAGGTCAGGTCGATTCGAGTATGTGATATTTCGGAACTGAGTCTAGTTCCTTCGATACCAATGCAATCTAGTAATCATGATTTTTCTCTACCGTGGCCAGGTATATTTTTCAAGCTTGTCCGGTGTGGATATACTGACTCAGAGTAACATCACAAACATAATTTTTGATATGTTTCTGAAGCGGCAAACAAACTTAAAAAGTATGTTTAGTGCTTTATCTGTAAAATCATGCTAAAATGAAGAGATTTTAGATGGTACGCCAAAGAGAAAATGATGTCTGAAGTCCAGTAGGTAAATTTCTGCATAAATATGGCTTCAATTGTACAGCATCAATAATAATTGTATTTGAATTGACAATATTTACTATCATTTTGTGTTTCTCAACCGCCAGATACATTTAAAATGGTTGCTAACTGTATTAGTACAAAATAAAGCTAAAACAAAGTAATTTTGAGAGGAACGCCAAAAAGATTTAGCAATTTATAGGTTTTGAACACCTTTCATCGCAAATACGAGACGGCAAACCTTTTCCATCTCTCTTGCGCAAGTGCGCAACGCAAAAATTCGATGCGGCGTCAAACGGTATCACACAAAAAAATTAATCTCCTCAAATGCATAGCCATGGCATAAGCAAATCCTATAAGTTTTGAAGGATATGTTTATTTATTTATTTATTTATTTATTAACTTTACAACCATACATAAAATAGATTAAACCACTACATAATATGGTTGAAGGTATGGTCAACAGGACATGAATAGCTAAGAAATGTTTGAGGAAACTGCATGACTTAATGTTAAACACCGACTTTGAATTTACTGGTGGAAAATTACTACTGTGATCACAGAAACTCGGTGGCCAATGCACATCAATTTTTTTTCACAATAATTTAATCGAAGAAGTTTGTTTTGGTTTGTTGTCGTCGCTTTGCGTAGTACACGCTTAAGGTCCCTAACAATAATAGTAACACATGGTAAGGGCATTACACAAACTATTGCGCTTTCTTTAGGGATTTCGAAGGTTAAAACTATAAATATAGCAACGTCAAAAAGGTTACACTATAACAATATGGCTGTCTGGTTCGTCTCTGTTTGCTTTGAGAGAGCTGATGACATAGCTATAGCTCTATCAAATACAAATCTTTCAACTCGTTCAGCTAATAAATGTTTCTCTGTGGGGCGCATGCTACTGTAGACATCTGTCGAGGGTCGAGACGTGAAACTTAACTATAGACGAATGAAATCCAACACCACAGCTAGAAAGAACGTCTTAGAATGAGTAAAACTGCAAAGTTTGGTTGCTAAATGTTGTAAAATGAAGAAATTATAACTCTGTGAAGTTCGCAAATTTTGTACTATGATATTTGTGATGCGCGGTAAAAATAACCACTTTCGGCTCAAAAATGGTTATTTTCCTCATTGTACAACAATTCGCAACCAAGCTTTGGAATTTTACTCATTTTAAGATGCTCTTTCCAGATATGGTAATGGATTTCATTCTCCTTGTCTAGATCAAAATTTCGTTTATAGCTGGGGATTGATAATTTGAAGGATTTCTTAATACTTTAATAATAATTTGAATGAATAAAACTGATATTGTATAACCATGGATTAAATTGAAATCAGTAGTTACAATATATAAAAGCTAATAAACTAAAACATATTTAGGGACCGTCACTAATAATGGGAGGGGAGGGGGCAGTGGGCGATAAAAAACAAATATTGAACTTTTTTAGAACCGCACCCAATCGCAAGACTTTTATTTTCAAGACGCCCCCATCTTCATCTAGAAAACTTACGAACCC